TCATACTTATTTGGTAGCGGATTCAACAGAAACAGATCCTCATCAGTTGCAGCCATCTTGGTTGAGTGCAAAAAACGTTCCTCTGTACAGTCATTGTATAAAACCTGCCCAATATTAGATAAATAGCTGTGACTGGCCCAGGTAATCTGTCTGAATGTGTGTGTGTGCAAATAATAATAATCAGCTCGTAGATCACCTGGTACCCAGTCTAGGTATTGATTGAGATTATACTAATTTAGTTCAATACCAAAGCAATGCCATTTGTGTATACTTTACTTTGATCATTTTGAAAATAATTTTTCTGCAAAAAAAAAAGGAACCAAACTTCTCTAAACCTTATCTAAAATGAGCATCCTTGCAAGACCCTTTCCTCCATAAAATGCTGTCTAAATGGCAATATTAGGATTTAATTTAGAAACTGTATGACCAAAAGCTAAGTAAAGAAGATTATAAATCTTGTTCTATGCCAGCTTTCTTCATTTGGCTGTTCCTGACATTCAGTGACATGGACACATTTCTGTCTGTACCCAAAACCTTATGAGTTTCCTCTATATATTAAAAGGATGCCTACTAGATGGGGGAACTTCATGTGGCTGGGAAGTGGTTGAGAAATGTCTGCCGAGGCTGGTAATGTAGTTGTGCTCATGCAGGCTAGATGCAAGATAGGGGACTTCAATAATGGCAGCCACTGATAAACAACCCAGCAGCATGTGTAGGAGAGAGTGAGATGAAAGGACTCGGGGAAAGGAGTCAGGCCATGCAGCAGCAGATGAAGGTAATTAAAGAAGCCATCATCAGCATCATTAATATGCTAGATCTGCCGTGGCCCACTGACTAGTCTAATGGAGAACATGTCATCATCGTCACCATTAGGGAGAGTGGGACACACACAAACACACACACACACTGTCTTAATGTTGGGTCACGCCATGATTATCACCATTAAGCCTAGAGTGAGAAGACCTGCTTAGGAAACCTCATTCTCTCCTGCCATGGTACACTCACACATACAGTACACACACACAGACACACACACACACACACACACACACACGCTTGTAGATCTTTAATTCAGACCCTGTGAGTGATAAGTATGCATATTTAAGTGATGTCAGGCCTGTTGGGTCTTTTAATTAGACAGAATGAATGAATGTTTTATAAAAACGTGTTTAACAATAAATGTGTTCATTAATTTGATGAGAGGATGTGCTCTGATGAGCTGAGTGGAACAGAGTAATGGCTCGTATTCAGCTCTGGAGGTTTGATGGTGATGGTAGCAACAACCCGGCTATTGGTTTCTGATTTTTTCCTGATCTTCGTGTTCTCTCTCTTTACCCAGAAAAAAGTTAACTTTGAATTATGTTTATCTCACGACCTTGGACAGTTTAGTCTGTTTTATTGAAAATGCTTTATTTTTGTCCTGTACAGCTAATGTGCAATGTGATACCCTTCCACAGCTCCATGGAGAATAGAAAAGATGGAAAATCCATTAGCTGCTAAAGTCCCCACAATGTTTTTTTTTTTTTCTGTCTGCAGGTATGCTTTGTGGTTTGTCATGAAAGTTCATTCAGATGTTTAAGTTCAGAAAAAGATTGTGTGTGAGTCCACAAAGTCCATCTTGTATCTTTTGTCAATGAAAAGTGTGGGCTGTGCACTGGACAGCTCTGCCTTATTTTGATAGAATAAACCATCAAAATGATAAATACTGTTGCAGCAGCTGTAAAGATTCCAAATCCTTCACCAGCGCTGCAGTAGTCAACTCATATTCTCTAGCTTGGACCTGAAAGGACCAGTAGTATCACCAAACTTGGTTATAAGTGTGTCCCAAATGCATTTTGTTGCCCCTTTTAGCCCCCATCATCAGCTAAAATATTTGTGCAACAAAACCAATCTAAATGTTAAGCAGGTATGCTACTTTACTCCTCCCCCCGCTTGCAATCACACCTCCTTTGTCCCGTTTTCTCCAAATGTCCCTCCCTCCATCCCTCTCTCTCTCTCTGTCTCTCTCTCTCTCTCTCTCTCTCTCTCTCTCTCTCTCTCTCACACACACACACACCCACTCTCCCCCTTTTTCTCACACACCCTTTCACTGCCTCCCCTGACACTGGTGGAAACAGAGTGATGGTGTGTAATTTAGTCCTAATCACAACATCAGACTTGCGCTGCGATTTACATCCCTCCACCAGCCGAGCCAGTCAGACAGTCAGGAGGGAGATGTTAATGTGAGACCACAGGTAATTACTGTCATTACAGCACGCCACAGATCCTGCCAGTGTGTGTGCATGTCTGTGTGTACGTGTGCGCATGTGGAGGTGTGTGCAGATGCATTGTGAGTGTGGGTGTGTTTTGAGCTTTTGAATGGTACGTTTTGATATTTTTTGTGTATATAATTAATATTGGAGTATTAAGGGGTGGTTTTGGCCAATAATTTCACAACAAAACTTCCTTCACATGGAGATCCTTCGATGCGTGAGACCAAATAGGAATGAAATCGCAAACAGGGGACAATATTTATGCCATTGTTGATAAATGTAATTACAATTGATGCTCTGACTCAGTTTACTCTTCAAAATTGAATGACTTGCTTGATGTAATTTCATTGTTACCCCAGTTTTTCTTCATTGCTTTATTTGTTGAAATGCAGCCCTTCCTTAATCTAAACGTAATTAAAAGTGTAATTTTTCATCATGTTATGAAATTTGAATTATTGATTATGTGTCACTGGCATCTCCACAACTTCCTTTTTCATCTAAGGCAGCCTATTCATTTGTGTTGTTGAAGGATCATTCTGTGAACTGAACTGCGTCTTTATTATTCCACATTATTGTGACAAATTGGAGGTTGTCCCATTAAAACCTTTTTATTTTTCTTTTGAACAGAACCTGACTTAACTCACCTTTTCTTTGAAACTCACACAACTGCATGTCTGCATGCTGGCTTGCACTACAACTTATTTGTTTGTGTTGCAGTATATTTTAGGTTAGGTATGTAATGAATCTTTCCTGCCTTGCAATGCGTTTATGCATTTAAAAAAAAAAATTCTAAAGGTATTAGAAAACTGGTACAGCATTGGCTTATTTTGCTGTATTTTCCTGAAACATTGATTTTGCAGAAGATTTGATATATTTGATTTCACATTTTGCTGCAAAAGAACACAAGCAAACCCGTTGTCCTGTGAGCTGTTGCATAAATTCCTGACATACAGTCCAGGGCTGTTGTGGCCTAAAATTCATGATTTCACAGCAGCTTTTGTAAAAAATTGCCATGTATGTTGCAATGATTTTTTTTTTTTTTTTTTGCAATGAAATTGCGGGAGAAAGTAAAATTTGCAAAAATTGCTATTACTATTATTATTATTATTATTATTATTATTATTATTAGTTTAATTCATTAAAAGTCGGAGGCAACTTGTTCCAGTGGACACAGCTAGACACAAGGTAGTGAGTTTGGTGACCTATGACTCAACGTTTTGCTAAGGAAACTACCATGATCGGTCAAATTTGAAGAAAGTTGCAGTGATTAGACAAAATTGCAAGGTCACGCAAAGTTAACTGGGATTGGTTGAATTTGCATTGATTGTTGCAAACTGTTGGGACTTGGGTATGTAACAAAACTGACTGATAAACTGGTCAAATTTTGAAACTGCTGCCCTCTATGCATCCCAGGGCGGATGTGGTGCGGGATTATATACTGGCTTGTCTTTGATAAAGTTCTCAATAACCTACAAAATTTTCACCTCAGGCAACTTTCACTTTCACCTTGGGGTGCACAAGCAATTGTCCTTTAACCAGTCTGGGTGTTGCCCATAGGAGTTTTGCTAATATATAAAGACACACTGTTCAGCCACCACCAATCACTAGATCAACAAACAGACACTAAGATACCAGACTTTATGAACTTTGCATACAGTTTCTGTTTTATTTTTAACCTTGATGATTCCCTGTCCATTCTTCGCTCTTATTGCCTTAAGCCTTTTGATGATGAATTGAAGGATAACTGTTTTTGATACTCCAGCACTTTTTTTCATTCCGCTCTGCATCAACAGTGTCTCATTATCTCTTTCTTACATTTAGCTCTGTGGTGTTTTCTAGATAAACATCAACAAGAAAATATTTTGGTGAGCGTATGGTATTCAAAATACACACACGGACATACACACACACACACACACACGCACATGATTTAACTCACACAGCCGTTGATATTTTGACATTTTAGGTTAATCATATGACATTTTTGGGGATTCTTAAATCATGGACCACATATTGGAAACTTTTTTTCATGTTTGCCAAAGTCTTTATGAGAAGATGGGATGGTATATCAAGGTGTTTCCATGGCGATAAGGGTAATGTGTCAGGGTCCCTAGAGTTTAGGCCTGGAAAGGTCCTGACTGATAAGCAGAATGAAAAAGTCAGCAGTTTGGCCAGTGCCATCCCATCCCTGTTTTCACCCCTCACCCATCTTCTGCTCTCTCCAATCTTGTCTTCAGTTTGCTTCTGCTCTCCCCCATCCTCCATCTTTCCTCCTTTGCACTTGCTTAATACCTCACCCTGCTATTTATACCTGCGTCTGCAAATGCCATCTCTTTCATTACCCCATTATTTTCCATTTACTTAATTTTTCTCTTGTGTTACTATTATGCTCTATTTTTGACATTTATTTTCACCCTGTCCCTGCTTCCCATCTATTAGAGCCTCACTTATCCCCCTTCTTTTACCTTCCTTTATTTCACACCTTTGACTCCCTCCACTCCACATTTGCCAGTGTTAGACGTTAATACTGCCCTTGAAAGAATGTAGTAATATTTTTGTTTTAACTAAAGCCCATTAAAAGGACAATGAAGTGAATTTTCATCTTTTAGTTTTTCTTCATTATTTTAAAAGTTAAAATTAGATGGGAAATGTGAAAAAAAAACACACACACCATTGTACATTGTTGCCATTTAAATAGTTGAATGACAGCTTACGTTGTCATAGATAATGTTTGACTGTGTATTGTAGGTGGATACACTCCGGTCAGAGCTGGAGGGGACATGGTCTGACAATACAAACCTTCGCCATGAGAGCCAGCTGGTCATGACGAATGTCAACAGTTGGATTACTGAACAAAAGTATGACCACACTAACACTGTGATGTGGTGTTTTTTTCTTTATTATTCATTTCATTTGCATATAAAAAGCTGTTATTAAAATCAACAGTGGTTTCCTGTATGTTTTGGTTAATAATGTGTGTGTGTTTGTGTGTGTGTGTTCACACTGCAAGGCCCATAGGCACTGAATAAATGTTAAAGAAACACTTAATTCAGAAGTGTTTTGCATTTATATGCAAAATATGCTGTTTAAATTGCAGGTGTTTATACACTCATAAAAGTCTTACCTAGTGTAGTTTTTAAGTTTATGATTAGATGATTCAAAGTCTGTCTTCTCCCCTTAGGGCTTCCAATGAGAGCATCATTGCCCAGATGAAGGCCCAAAACAAGCTGCTGCTCATCATCACTGAAGAAAAAGAGTGAGTTTATTCATTTTATTTCATTTTTTGGCACACTACTTTATCAATGAGTGAATTTGCGTGTGGGCGTACATTTATGTGTCTCAATCTTGCGCAGTGTATTTGTGTACTAAAGATGACTAAACATGGGAGAGAAAAAAAAACAGCTCAGCTAAACGCTACACCTGCAAACTAGGTCACCTTTCCCACCAGAAGAGTTTGCGATTATCGTGCTTGTGTGTGTGTGTGTGTGTGTGTGTGTGTGTGTGTGTGTGTGTGTGTGTGTGTGTGTGTGTGTGTGTGTGTGTTTGTGTGTGTGTGTGTGTGTGTGCATTTACAGTAATGTGTGTGATGTGTGTGTGTGTTTATGTGTTCTGTGTGTTTCTGTGCATGTGTTGGAGTGATTCAGGTGGACGTATTTGCACCTTTTTCATTTTGCATGTCTGCACCATCATGACTCACACACACACATTCACAGAGACATGGGCGTGACATATTCCTCTTTCCAGAGATCAAAGTGGTCTAGCCATCTCCTGTCATCCCACCCCCCTGCGGTGCCATGCCTCCCCCAGCCCCGCCCAGCAGCACCATAGCCGATTGTGTGTCTGCTTTTTCCTCTCTCTTGCTCAACTGACGTGACTGTCTGAGTGTGTAATTTTTTACTCATGTGTTTGTTATGGTAACCTGTAGCAATGGTAACAGTCTTCATACAACCTGGAACACACTACGTGAAGTTGTGTTTCATAGACGGTTTATAACTTTCCCTCGAATATACAGAGAAACGATATGTTCCTACTTCCCCTCCTGTTAAATAAAACTACTTAATGCGTCTGGTGTGTATTTTAGTGGTACAATAAACATCCGAATAAGAACTTGTTTTAATAGTTCTTGATACTGAGAATTGGTGGCATAACAAAACACTGAAATAAATAGCTACAAGGGTAAGTGATAAATGGTTGAGGAAATATAGCATTTCATTATAATGGATCAGGATATGTGTGTGTGTGTGTGTTTGAGATAATGCCTGAACTGTTAGTTAAAGGCTGTTCTGGAAGCAGAGAAACACAGACACCATTGCTGTAGTGTGGCAGAATATTTTGTCTGCCATGTTAACAAGAGTCTCTTGATGATAATAGGTGTCTGTCTTTCTCCACGTCTGCCTCTCTATGTATATTTCTCTGTTTAACTCGGTCTCTGCATCTCCTTGGTTTTGTCAGACATCTTCAGGAGGCTAATGACACATTGAAGGCGGAGGTAAAGAGACTGAAAGAAGTGGCGGATGAGAAGGAGAGAGACACGGAACGCTTCAAGGTGAACAAGTGCAGAGTGGAAAAGCAATGAAGTACAAATAGGGAGAGACAAAAGAGAGTCGATCACAAACAGGTTTGTTTTTCATTTTATAATTGTTTGCAGGCCCAGATTCGAGACCAGGGCACCCGGCAAGACGAGAGAACGTGAGTCATCTGTGTGTGTGTGTGTGTGTGTGTGTGTGTGTGTGTGTGTGTGTGTGTGTGAGTGTGCAGGCGTGACCGTACATGTAAGTGCATGCATTTGTGTGCATCCACCAGCTGACCAGAGTTTAGCATTCACATCCAACAAAAGCATTGCCCACCATGTTTCGCTCTTTCACACACAATCTAGCCCGAACAAAGCTGATGATGATAATAACAGCTGGAGTGCCAAGTTGTGAATGAAACACCCCATGGGCCTAGCCACCTGTGTGTGTCCGTGTGTGTGTGTGTGTGCGTGTTAGGTCTCTTCTTCAATCTGAATATGTGATTCATGCTGGGCCTTTAACAATGATTACACTCCAATCAAGGACCCATCCTCTCCTGCCTGCCACCCCCATGGCTGTCAAACAGCATTCATCAATAGAGAGGAGATATATTTATTATGTTCATTAAGGCAATTAAAATGAATGTGGCACAGATGGGATTGGGTGTAGGATAGAAGTGAGAATGGAGGGCGTGCACGTGTGGGAGAGGGTGTTTGTGGGGGCACCTGCCTACAGCAGTACTCCCCATACCCCCAGTGTGACCCCCTAAGGTCTCCCTCATTAACACCCCCTCCCCCTTACCCACCTCACCCTGTTTCACAGACATGCACACACTCATGTTGCACCCCTCCCCTAACGAACCACCAGGCTCTGTTTCCAAAACGGATCAGATTTGTTTTGACTGGGGTAGGTTTCCAATGCTATTCAAAGCTGTCAGTCATTTTAATGATATCATTAAGGGGCCGCGACAGAAAGATGAATCGCTTTTCTTTGTCTTTCCCTCATAATTGCGAATGAGCGAGAGAGAGAGGGACAGAGCAAGAGAGGCAGTTCATATAGATGTATGCATAAGAGGGGTTTTGATTGAGCGAATATAATAACATGGAACGAGATAAAAACAGTGAATGAAAGCCTCTTCTATAGTGTCTCCCCATCCATTCTCTCTTTTTTCTCCTTCCTCTTTTCTTTATTATGAGGATTCTTAATTTATTTCATTTTATTATTGGGAGACACACACACACACATACCCAAAATGCCATATGTATGAATATCATACATCTGTAAGGCAACAGATATGTCATGATATTTGCATGGCAGCCATATACATTCAGTGTATAAATCTCATTACTGGTGGCAAAGGGGATATCTTCACAGTGTCTCCCACCTGTCACTATCAGTGACAGCAATCAAAATGGCGTGAAGGTTTTGTCATTAGATATGCCTTTATTAAAGAAATTTATTATGATTACATGGCCCACTGTTCCAGAGCAGCTGGAGTGTCACGGCTTCATGTTGTGGATGACATTCGGTATTAGTAAGGCCCGCAGAAAGGTGAGGAAAGGAGGAATAGAGAAGATAGATTAGATTGATAAAATAAACAGATTTCTGTTATATTCATGTTTGAAAAGTTGTTTTAGTGGCAAAAGAAGTGAATAATACCGAATTCAACATGTACCTTAATACAAAGTATGTCAGCTTTGCAGTTTTTATTGGTTTTGATCCATTTTCTCAACATATAAATGTAAATCAGAAGTAGTACTGTGGCTTTTGGTGGAGTTTTGCAACCCTACTGATCTTCTGACAATTGTATGGCCTTGTTGGCCCAACTAGAAACATACCAGCAATATTGTCGCAATTCACAGCATAAAATATTATCAGAGGTTAACAGTAATGAAAGCTGAGAGAACAATGCCATCACAAGGTCCTTTTTCTTGCTTAAGGATGAAGAAGATGATGAAGGCTTTCAGCGGGTTCAGTCAACTCGAAATTCAAACTGGTGCATCAAAAAGCAAAACAAGTGAGACAAGATCTGGATATACAGGATCTGGAGCACACGGCTGTAGTAAAAACTTTTTAATAAGTGGCAGCACAGAGCGTGTCTTCACTTTGACTATCACCGTGTGCTCTGGATCTCAACTTTCCACAACCATTTAGTAGCTGTTCTGGAGCTTTCAATCATATCACATAATCCTCCTCAGCAGCAGGTTCACAGTCATGGTATTATAGATGTTGGAATCTAAAGTAATGCAAGAATCTCACAACAAAGTCCATTTATTAGGAATAACAGCTAAAACAATAAAACTGAGATGCCTGTTGTTCTGAAAATGTAAACGTACTGGGAATGCAAAACAGGAAAAAAATTTATCATCATCAGCTTCAATAGCTAAAATCTGTTGCAATCCTAATTGGGCAAAGAATGCACTACATGAAGTATCAATGTTGTGCAACATGCCTGTAAAAAAACCTCTCCAAGGTTCTACTGTTTGTCTATCATGGTCTGTTTTCCAAAATCTTCCTGTTGCATAGGAAAGAGGATGCTTCTTGTCCTGCTTTCCCCTCCCTGTCTTCCCTCCAGAAGTGTTTAATATCAAGAGAAAGAAGAAGAATGGGCTCTGACAACAGCCCTTACAATACAAAAAGTGGCTGCTGTTTGTGCCATGGAACAGTGTTTATCTGGATGGCATGCAGTTCAAAGTAGAGAAAATGCAAATATCTTTAGTGTGTTTCTCAACAGCAGTTATATTCCAGTCTCAAATGAATTCAATTATTTCTAATCAAAACTTTCACATTTCACCTCAAATGATTTCAGATAATATCTGAAAATATGAAAATACCAGTACACACTGAAATACACTGAGTGGTAGAAGCAGAGATGGATGCTGTTTGCTGTGACTGTCTGACACAACCCATGTGGGGGAAACGCTCATAAAGCATCAGGCTTCATCAGTCGCACCACTAACAATGTGCTTCCAATTAAGAGCAGCCAGTGATCACAGCAGAGGATTTGTACAAACAGAGAGAACTGAAGTGACAGAGAAACAGGGAGATAAGACGGCGACTGTGTGAGAAGACAGTCAAGTCTTGCATAAAATTTGAGATGAGCGCAGTAAATAAGAACGATGAGAGCAAGATTGGAGCAAGAGGAACCATGTAGTTTATTGCCGGGTTTAGAGAGCATGGCAGCTTGGCTTTGACACTAATGACTGTAATTATACACACGCTGATTGGGTTAGGCCGCTAATTACACACATCCATGTTTGCGTGTAAACACAGGAACACATGTTTACACAGGCGTCATGCCAAGTGCTCAGCGCATCGCTGCTTTCTCACATCGGGTGCATAAATCTCCCACAGTTGTCTCAGTGGCGGTGATGTTTCATGATCTGCTGAAGACCACATTAGCATCTAGGAAAGAGTTTAAATCATGTGAAGAATCTGTGGATCTGTGGCGCTTTGGATTTTAATGCCTCCAGTTTTTCCTTCGCTGTAGCAATGGAAACTCATGGAGCTCATCTTTTAAAAGGCATTTACAATTCGAAAGATCAAAGGAAATTTCTGCATTTCTTCTTATTAATGTTCTTTGTATCATCATTATGGTGTGAAATTAATAGATTTGGATGGGTCAGTTGCAATTATGTTCAGTTTATGAATGTCATTTTCAGGAAATGAGGTTTCGTTAAAAAAAATGCTTACTTTGGACAAGCTTAATTAGTTAGTTAATAGGCAGTGATTCAGATTATGTTCTGTCAGCTTGTGTATGTATGGAATATCATATCAGTTTTCATGTTTGTACATTTTTGGGCAAAATGTCGGTGTGTGTAGCTATACATATATACATGTACATATATATGCACATATTTGCATACATATACTGTTGGTAGGTAGGTATATGCATATTTGACTGCTTTGGATCATATTTCTTTCCTTTCTTTCCTGTCTCGACTTAGTGCTGCACATAAATGACTATTGCACATCATCAGTGCTTCACCATAACTGCTTTTGTTTTTCTTTTTAGCAATTTTGCTGTTGTTTTTTTTTTTTTGAAAAACCAAAAGAAAAACCCCTGTCAATAGATTGTGGGGATAGCACAGTGGATAGTTTTTTGAATGCAGTGGTGTAACTGTCAGTCTTATGTTGCTGTTATTGTCTCTTGGTTGAGGTTTACCAGAGACGGTTACAAGTACATGGGAGCGGAATTGTTTCACTAATGAATCTCATAAACTTTTCAGACAAAAACGTCAGTTCACATATTAGCGTCTCCCTCAAGTGTCTCCTCAGATCTTAAATGTTTTAAGTTATGGTTAATAGGTCAAGTTTGTGTTTTCTGTGTGTGTGTGTGTGTGTGTGTCTCAGCTCACCCACATCTACAGAAACAATAATGCCATTTATTAGCGTTCCGATGAGCATGCGCGTCTTCTCAACTGAAGCAAAACGGGACCGTCTTTCCATCCGCTGCTCTGATAGAAAATCCCAGCTTGCGCTTTTACAAGAAAATTAACATTGGGGAGGTACAGTGGTACTTTAATGGGCTGAGAAGTCTTCAGTAAAGTATTTAGAAGGTTTTTTCCGAATGCTAACTGGACAGGTTCACTGGGGCATGAAAGAAAGAGCGTAAAGCGGGGGCAGCAAGCTCTTCAGCCCGTACAGAGCACCATTATCCACCGTCGTTAATTTAATAGACATTCCTTAAGTCAGTCCTCGGTCTGAAGATAGCAGACCCTAACATTTGTTTGTCATTTCCCAAAACGTTTTTAATAAACAGTTAAAATCTTAAATGGCTTCTTGTACTCTTAATGTTCCCTGGCTGCGGTTGCGTTCGTTTTGTTTTTGTGTTATTATTTTTTGCAGTTTTATATGCGCTTTTATATATAATTTAATGATTTCTGGAACCCATTTGCTCACCCATCTTTGAGTTTAGTAATAAGTTATAATGAAGATGGTTATAATGAAGATGATGTACGCCAACTTTTTTATGCCCCAGATTTCAAGGACATTTGATTGAAACTGTTTTGTCTTGCAAATTCATATCAGTGTACATAAATACTGGAGCTTAAAAATGTACCATGACAGGAGCAAGTGTATACTTAATATGCTTTGTATGGTACACATGAGTCAGTTTCAAGCAGCAGCTTCCAGGTGCAAAGATTTACTGTAAAGATGTCAAACTTAATTTTTCAGATGTGTGTGTGTGTGTGTGTGTGTGTGTGTGTGTGTGTGTGTGTGTGTGTGTGTGTGTGTGTGTGTGTGTGTGTGTGCATACATTTGTGTTACAGCATGGAAACACAGGGTTGTGTGGCTCTAAACCTCAGCAAAATCGAGGACATGCAGACAAGACTGCGACACAACCTGGAGGCCATCGGAATGCTAAATCAACAAGTAAGCGCGCACACAGACATATACACATGCACTGGGTCCTGGCAGTCCTTTTACCCGACTGATACAAACACACACCCACACACCGGCCCACCTGCTGTTGAGCTCACACAGAAGAGGAAGCTTTCATGCGTCCAACTTCAAACACACACGCGCACTTACACACAAGCGCACACAGACATCCATTTCCTCTTCCTACGATAAAAGTGAAAAGTCGGCAGCAGGGCGGGGGTGTGTGTGCAGTGTGGGGAAGGGGGGACAAATCGTATCGGGAAAAAGCAGTGACGTTTCTTTCCACTGGTAAATGATTTCCCTTTCATGAAACTGAGAGAGGGATGTATATCAATACAGCCGTGCTGATCTCTCCATGACAGCATAGGGAAATGGCCCGCTGTGATAAAACAATGTGGGGGGAAAAACACAGAGGAATATTCTGAGGAAAAGCTGACATTTTTTACTGTGTTGAACTTCACAAGAGTCAACAAATCACCAAAGGAGAGACGAATCAAAAGTACTCCTCAGCCCCCTCAGTTCTCCAAAACTCCAGGGCCTGGGGAACGGCTCACCCGACTTTTGTTAGTCTGGCCCGCTGATTGACGGGGGTACGACGAAAGCTGGTACTTGTTGAAGTTTTTAATGCTATGTTGTTTTCTGTGAAAAGCAAATGGCATTAGCTGCATGTGTGAGGAGGAGGAAGGTGGAGCAGAGGAAGAGGCAGACAGAGAGAAAGAGAGAGGTGTTGTTTAACAGGTCAGGTGTGTAATAGCACCTCTTAATCTCTAGTGTGAATCATTACACATATCGATCCAACACGGACAGTCTGCACACACACAAACATACAAGCACAGTTGGAACTGATAGGATATAGACAGTTCATTTATACAAGGCTATTCCCTTCTCTGTCCGCTGGACACACATACTTGCATACACACTTGCACACACACACAAAGAGATATCAGTAAAGAAGCTGAATGGAATGTCTCAGTTTATCTAAGTGAAAGTGTTGGGTTATGAATCAGGTCTGTGTCTCTGTTTTGGATCAGTCTCATTTACTCATAGTCACGAGGTGCATATCAACACTGGCTATACAACGCACGTGTGCATGATTTCCACCCGACTGTCAAGAAAATTTCATGCAAACCTTTGAAATGTCACACGAAATTAGATGCGAATTAAGTGATTTCCCATCATGTGGGATGAAGATGAACATCAGCGGAAAAAGCTGAGATTTCTTTCAAGACTTGATTAGCATTAGGCAAGCTGTTATTGTGCTTTAGTGTCATCTAATGTCCAGGTTGTTTCATGCTTTTCATGCAAAGATGAAAAAGAGATGCGTGAGGCAATATTCCAGCACACCCTTCACTACAGGCAGCTGCAGGGAGTGATGGATAGACAAGTATGGCACGGTATTTCCAAATTCCCACAACTTCTTTTGCACTGTTGTTTTTAGTGGGAAGACAGTGCCAACAGATCCAAAGCTCCATTCAAAAATAACAACATTTTAAAACTTTTTCGGCCGACACGAAATTTGCTCCAAGTTTGCTGTCTCTGTTCAGACATATTTTTTTTTATATAATTCTTATTAAAATACCTGAATGGAAACCCAGCTTTACAAATGACAAAGTGCAAACACGCTCGTGCACCAGCTATAAAACACCCCCTTCTGTGTCTTTCTGTCTGTCTCTTTCTTTCTTTCTCCCCCACTTATACACATCCTTTTCATCCAAACATATGCACACCAGTTCACCCGCTGTATGTGAAGGTTGAGGAGACAAGCTGTGATTTTTAATTTCACCCCCCTCCCTTGCAATTAGGAAAGCATCCAGAGCATCCAAAGACGAGGAAAATTAAACAGGTCCCCTTGAATATACGGTTAATTATAAATGTCAACCTTGCTGTTTTTCATCTAGAAATTCTATTGCTTTTGGCATAACATAAAATGAACACGTTGTAGGATGTTTGCCTGTTGAAGATAGCAAATACTCTTTAAGCGTCTTAGGATAGTTTTGACACATCGACATGTCACCGGTTCTTCGAGGGTTAAGCCTAAGACCTCGCTATTCATAGTCATCAGATGTAATACATTTGCTCAGATTTATTAGGCGCGTGTGTGTGTGTGTGTGTGTGTGTGTGTGTGTGTGTGTGTGTGTGTGTGTGTGTGTGTGTGTGTGTGTGTGTGTGTGTGTGTGAGTGAGTGCACGATGTCTGGAAGGGTAATGTTAGCAGAACCGTCCGGAAATGTGTCTGTCTCATCTCCGTTTGTGTTTTTCTCTCTCCCTAACACACAGACACACACATATGCACGCACACACATACGCACACACATGGCCAGACATGTCGATGTGACATCATTCTTCAACCGCAGCTTTCACACAGACACACACGCACACTAAAAAACAGATGTGGATGAGTGCAACTGTCATTACCCGACGTGTCTCTTTGTCTCTCCATCCTTTAATTTCTTATTTTACTCTTCCTCATAGCTAAAAATACATAATTTCAACTCTTTTATTCTCTTTTATCTGCCTTATTACAATTTTCAGACTGGCACATTTTGCATATAATTACCACGCTGTACAACAAATGTAAATGCTATTATTTTTTTGCATTTAAAGCCACGTTTTAACTCACACTCCTCCCTGCCTTTACCCAAATGTCCTTGTCAAAAAATAAAACACCCTCAATTTAGCTAGTCTGTAATTGTGTTTCAGGGAGCCCAATCATGTTCTGACGATGTGCGATTTGTTTTGTGTCACGGATGATTTTGTGTCAAATCGACCTCTAATGATCGCTCAAATTGGTTGTTTTCATGTAGAAATTTACACCGTCGCATGACTCCCACGTGCAACCATTTCAAACTGTGAACACAATACTCTCCCAAAACCCCAGTCGCAGTTTTTCCATTTGCATTTCTGTTTCAACAGGCATGAAAGTAGCTGTGAAAGATGAATTAGGCACGTAATAGGATGTCAGCTATCTCATCAACTTGATAGCTGTTGACTTTTGATGGTTGATATTTATTGGCAACTTCAAATCATTCTTTTTTTTTTTTTTTTTTTTTGATGATTTAACTAAATGAGTGTGATGCTTAAACTTCCTTGAAAGTTCTCCAACAGTGGTCCCTCCTCCCTCAGTCGGTGTCACGGTCACACATAAAGGGTTTTTTTTTTCTTCCAAAAAATACTGTTATTCTCTTTGTGTCTACATGTCTTCCTCTGTGCATACGTCTCTTTCTTTCTTTCTCCAGTTAAACGCCCTCAGCAGGGAGAATAAGCAGTTGCGTAGGCAGCTGGAGGAGGAGAGGTCCATGCGACTGCTCCTTCCTCCTCCCACCTCCCAACAGCGCTCCTTCTCCCGCCCACCTCCTCCCTCCGCCTCCCTACCCTCATCCCTCCGCCTCCCTCATCCCCTGAACCTGGACACAGCAGCGGGAGACACTGACAGGACTGTAAACCAAACCAAGCTGAGCAGTACTAGGCTAGAGAGACCAGGTGAGTCCCAGGCTTTGGGTGAAGCGTTCTGGATTAGGCCGCCTGGCTCTGCCTCCCTGGAAGATGCTCTGTCTGGGAGGACAAGCAGGGATCTGACCAAGTGAAGCCCCCTGAAGACTCTGACCTGTCATGACTTTTTGACCTCCAGCTGCTCACCAGGGAGTGTACTCAGTATGAGGTTAATGTCCTGCAGGTCAAAGTCAAGTCCCTGAGTGCTTTTTGCCTGAGGGGGCCTCCAGAACCAGTGAATGATGGAATTCCATCAAATCGAAATCTCAAAAATGTCTACTACATCATGAAGACATTTACTCCAAGATATGAACATATTCACATTTCTTACTTTTAAAAAAATGAATTGGTTGCATCCTCAAAGTGTTGCAATGCTCTGAGCAGTGTTGGTTTATAACATTTGCAATTACTTCTTCTTTTGCAACAAAACTGTAGCACTAAGCACTAAAATATTGTTTGTGTCTGTACCTTTTTAAAAATTCCATCAGTTCTGAGAAACTATAATCAATTTAATTCCACTTAAATGAACTAAACAGAACAAGTGACTAACTCCAAATTCTTTAGTGTTGATGAATGTGTCTCACACTGGAGATGGAAGCTGTGGATAAATGAGGGACGGCAGATCATCAGGATCCACAGACATACCTCAGATGTTGATGCGAATGGCTATAACACAGTCTCTGATTATGCTGCAGCTGTGCGCCATGTGTCCTCCATCTACTGCGGTGAATGTGGCCGTGTGTCTTTATGTGTGAGTACGTTATGTGTCTGCGTGTTTATGTCTCTCTGTGAGTGCTTGTGTGTGATTGAATGTTGATTATTGTAGATGCTGTTTTATATTTTTGTTTTATTCTTTAAAAACTATTTATTGATCTTTTTTTCCCCTCTGTTGCTGTGTTTAAGCCCCGCGTGTCATAAAGGTGGAAAAATAAAAACAGATACATTTGTAAATGGTTGTAAATTTTCCCCATTTTTATTTTCGCTGTCAGTGTACCAACAATATCTTATTTCTACCAGTTGGATTTATGTAACAACAGGCTAGAAATGCTACCTGTTACCATGGCATAATTAGGCATTTGTACAGTTTTACATGACTGCTGAGACACAAAGATGGTGACAACATTTCTAAGCAGCAACATTTTTTTTTTTTACAAAAGATCTAAAATGCGGCTTCGAAGCAGGGACTATGGCACACTCACACCATATTGACTTGCTATTTCTCCGTGTGCGTCTACAGGTGACTCATGGCTCATTTTATGTTCATAGTGGTTGAACAAGAGCATTGCTCATTCACACAAGCAGACAGGAACAGAAGCATGCAAATATCTGAACTTAAACAGAAGGAGCACTATTATACTGTGATAATGAGAATTCTGGGGAAAGCAGGTCTCAGGCCACAATTGGCTACCTCATCTTGCCATTCTCTCACACTGTCTCCCCCCACCTGTCTTCCACTCTTTTTTTTTTCCTTCATTGGTTCTGTACATACATAGCTGTTGTATAGCCGGTCAGGATGTCGTACATTTTAATGATTTCGAGCAGAACTGCATGTCCTTGTTAGCTTGGTTTTCCTCATTTGCCATGTCACACTCAAAAATACCCTTCTTTTATGTGCAAACACACATGTGTGCACCCACTCACACATCTACACGCATTTATATTCTTTCACAAACACACACACACTCTTACACAAACGGCACAGTCATTAAAAATGAAACCACAGGCTTTTTGAAAACTCCCAGGACTGAGGGAAAAGTCAGCGGCGCAGCGGTGAAAAGAGTCCCCCTGGAAACAATGAGGAGAATGATCATTTGTTGTTCTTGAAAACCCGGTGAGGTTTCACAGAGGTTAAGCTTCCCTTTGATGTGTTTTTAACTCGTTTCAGCTCTGTGGAGGGATTAGTCAGCCTCTCACACACACAAACACAAATGCACACATTCGCACACACAAGCACATACAGGCTCTTAATTTCCACACCATGAGCTCTTCTCTCACAAAGGCGGAAAGCACAGAACAGGCTTCTTCCTAACCTAATTTCATCAAATGAGAGTGGGTGGTACTTCACTGCTGTATGTGTGGTCCCTTGGAAATCTGTGGTAAACCAGCAAAATATTGCAAGTCAGTATTTTCTTTTTATTCCAAATTAACGTCAGGCTGTTTGTGAACACTGTGGGCCCACAACCACGAGAGAGACGGAGAAAGAGAGACAGAGTAGCTGTTGATCATCACAGCACTCATTACAGTGTTTACGAGGCATTATTTGATCCCTATTTCAAGATACAAATGATTGGGGTGCTTGTGCCTATGATGTGTGTGTGTGTGTGTGTGTGTGTGTGTGTGTGTGTTTGTTATCAGCTCCAGTCTGGGCTTCCCTGTAGGTCTCTGTGTGGTTGCCCATGCTAATAATCACACAAAAAGCTTGTATTCGTAGCCCATGTCGTAAGCAGCCCTGCAACAAATAGTGTTTGCAAATGATCCTTAGTGTTTGTTTTAACCAACTTGGAGTAGGAGATGGGTGGAGATACATTGTACCAGGGCAATTCACAAAGACAATATGCAATGGTAATGAACCCACAGAGGAAAGTAATTTTTATTTTAGGTTTAATTATTGAGATGTGATGTAACAATCACATCTCAATAATTTGCTCACTATTAACTGTAAGATTCTTACAGAAACTCACTAAAATTAAGCAAAAGGGTTTCATTCTCACTCTGATTTTATTTGTTTTATTTGAACTAAAAGTTAATTCATAAAATAGTTTTTTCTTGATTGTGGAATTACCGAAAAGGTGGTAAGTGTTAAGTGCTTTGGCTCTCCTGTACCAACTTACAGTGAAAGGAAGTAGGAAGGAAGAAAGTACATACAGCTGATTTTTTTGTTCTACCTTAATATATAAACTAGTCTGTACAGACCCACAGTCTGACACAGTTTGCATGCATCAGTTTATGAACAACTGACAATAGTTCCCGGGTAACACTTTCACTTTAGGAATTTTATAAATATTTTATATGTACTGATTATATATAACTCACTCATTTTTAAAGTTGTCATATTCATGACAACCTTTATGTACAACACCTGGAAAAACCCTTCTGTCATGTGAAAAGGACTTTAGGTTGGACCATCCCAGTATTCTGCCACTGTTAAAATGACTGTCAGTGGGAGAGACGGTTCTGACACACAGCAAACAGACAATGACAGAACAGCAACAGAGGGTGAGGAAGAAAGGAAACTGACAGGAGTGCTGGCAATGTGTCTCCTCTAAAAGACAGGTCACTAAAAGAAGGAAAGCAAGAAAAAGAAGACTTTTAAAAAGGTGGGTTTTTGTTATGTGGTTACTTTTTATAGACTATACAGCTACACTATAGCAAAATGCTGACATTCTTTTGGTGCAGGTGAATTTACGCTGTAGGCAGAGACTCATCTTCACACTGACAAAATGTCCCAGCAGAAGTCCTCAATCCTAAACCCCCAATCCACACTTACTATTTACATTTAGTATTTAATTTTGTCACATATTAAAGAGTGAATCACATTTTTCATCTGTAAACGTATTTATATGGTTTCTACAGCCGACAATGAATGCCATTAATCATATGCTTAATTTCAACATTTTCTAAATGAACTCCTGCACTAAAAAGACAGGAAAATCATTTTTGCACTGCTCTCCATGAACTGAAACTTCCAACTGGTTTTCAGTTTTGGCTCCATTTCAGTCATTCATTCAGGTATTTTGCCTTGCCTTGCTTAGCCTTGCCAGAAGCTTCAATTTTTGGGCAGAAAACTGTGAAAATTGCTCTCAAGTCACGACTACATTCATGGACATAATATCCAACCATTATATTCTCTGAAGATATAAGCAAGCAGTAAGATAAAGTATGATTCCAAAGTGTTAGAGAAAAATATTCAGATAAATAAAAACTTGCACATGCAAGATTTCTATTACCTACAATATTGTCATTAGAATAAAACCCAACTTAGTATAAAAGTGTATAGTTCATTAAATATGATTAAACCACCATTAGTTTACAGTTCTGTATAATGATTTCATTTGCAGCAAGTGTGGCCCTATTGGGAACCCTTTGCATTGCCTAAATCATGCTTATGTACATTCCATTAAACAACACAAGACCACAAACACAAACCCCACAACCTGCTGTAAATGCAAATCTCCCAGAGGAGGACTTTGTAGCGGCCATAACCAATACTACTTACTTGACTCCTATGACCATTGAGTAGTACAAAAAATAAAAGGGAAGAGCTTTTTTCTCATTGGTAGAAATACAACTCTTTGACAGTAGGTATTACTCAGTCTTGAGAGTTACTGTGGAGTAATTGTCAGTGCTTTTGTTGTATAATGGGATATGGGTACACCGTGTACTGAAGTCAAACCACAACTCTGATTGGCTGCAAAATGGGAACACATTGCTTCTGCATTACGTTGTCAGGCTGTTAAGCTGGCTCACTGATCGGAACTGTCTTCATAATTGGCAGGATAGTTATTTTCTCTGTAGCTAGTTATCTAGTTATTTAGTGACTTTTTATACAATGCTGTACTTGGCAACCAAGAGTGCAGATACAGTGCATCTTTTTGTTCACAAGTACACATTTTGTTGAGCTGAGTGGAGGTTGGGGAAAGCAGTGGGGGGAATTCATGAAAGGAAAGACAGAGGAATCAGCAAAAGTAAACCTGGAAGGGAGTTAAAGATAAAAAGCAGGGACTACAATACCCAGAAGCACTTGAATTGATAGATGAATGGTGGGATAAGCTAGTCTGAAGTCTAATAATGTGAGATACTCTGATCCCTGTAGGCTAAATAGCTCTCAGGAGCAGGGAGAGTTTCGCTGCTGTCAATAAAGAAGCAGACTCTCCTGCTGACATTAAACAATGCAGACGAGATGAGACTGGCCAGTTGGTCAAGCTAAAGTTAATTAGCCCGAAGGCTTAAATTTGTCAACTAAATCCATGTTTCTGTTTTACATTGTGTTAGTAGGCAACGTGACATTATTCAAATCCAAAAAGCGTTCCTTTCCTAATATTAGTATTTTTGATACAGTGTTCCTTTGCTCTTTGAATGGGAATTGAATTTTTTTTTTCTCCCCATTCACTCTCATTGCCTGGAGAAATGGGTCTTAAAATAACACATTTAGCTCATAAATGGGCAGGATCATAAATCTATTGCTGTGCAATCAAAGTGAAAGGAAAGAAGAAAAAGTTACCCCATTTCCGGAGCACATACAGTAAGTGAATGATAAAGATGATGAGCAATATTTGGACTACATTATGGATACTCTGATAGCCAGGAAGCTTTCCCTTTTAGATAGTTTTGAAAATAAACCATGAATCTGACATCTGTTCTTAATTCAGCAACATACTGTACACCACCAGCAACTATTTATAGGAAATGTCAGTTGTTTTTCCCAGGATAAAGGTGCTGCCTTCCATCATAAATATTGTGTATTTCAACGTGGAGTATGGCAGCACACAGGGGACACATGACTGATTTTTGCGTCTATGTTGCCATCTCTTACTGTAATGGGTAAGTTGACTATCAGGCCAATTTCTCAAAAAAGTTGATGTGTTCCCTCAAGGAGTAAAGGACGGGGTAAAAGGAAATGGGCAAAAATGGTACGGTTTAAGACAGTAGGAAACCTAGAGGGAAAAGGAGATTACGAGACAATTTGAGGTAGAGGAAAAGAGTTGAAGACTTCAGGGAAAGAGGAAAGGAAGTAGTGAAAGAGGGATGCATGGGAGAAGAGACTGAAAGAACGTTCCTGGAGATTTAGGGAATACGTTCGGGAATGAAGGGGAAAAAGGCAGAGTGAGAGACAGATGCAGAGGGAGACCAACAACGGAATGAAGGGAAGGAGGTGCAGTGTGTGATTTAGAGAGGAGAGAGGTTAAGATGGGGAAAGAAAAGGAGGAAGAGAGTAATGGGACATTTAAGGA